AGTATATTAGTATAGTAGTATAATGGTATAATAGTATATTAGTATATTAGTATATTAGTATATTAGTACATTAGTATATTAGTATATTAATATATTAGTATATTCGTATATTAGTATATTAGTATATTAGTATAATAGCATAATAGTATAATAGTCTAACTTCACTCAATGATTGGTAATAGACCTCCCACCCATCCACGCTCCGTGGCTTTGACGACGTTTCGATGTTGTCTTTCTATATCGACTCGTGGCCAGCATTCCGTTGCCACTTTATTCCGTCTATCACCATCACCCTTCGCAATATATCCGCTCTGTTTAAACTTCATTATCCGTTCTCCTACATTCTGGATCAATCAGTAATTAGAGTCCACATATTAGACTCCAGAGTAGGTAGTGCCATTTATTGTCGTGTACAAAGGCAAAAATAGTATTATGAAATAGGATGGCCAAGCTTAAGATGCTCTCTTGCGTTTATTATAAAGAAAACTTACAAAGACAGAAACTCAAAGTATAATGATCCTTCAAGCGCGGTCAACACATAATCTCAGCACAGAGTACTAAAAAAACCGACCTCAAAAGTACGTGGAATTACATCTATTTGCCAAGTTTTATTGAAATATCCCCCAGTTCACCACTATACAGGACTTGATACAGGAGATTATAAAAATCGGTTCTCAGTACTCAAAGTACATTTAGAGAGAAAAACGCCTTAGATTGGAGAATAGCAAAACCAACCATTGAAATAATTGCTCCTTAAGTAAAATTTAGGCGCTATTTATAAAAATGAATGTTCCTGCGTGATCAGTCACCCTTAGAGGTGGATGATTTTTTTTAAATGAAATGGGACCACTATGGAGGTTCCCTCTTTGCAACAAAAAAGAATCATACATCGAGTAACATACATACAAAAAAAAATACAGTCAAATTGAGTATATCCTCCTTTTTTTGAAGTCTTTAAAAATGCTGTTACACCGAATTTTTTTTTAAATTTATTGAATATGTTATAAAATTTTACATTATTTAATGTTTTTTATTTCATTGTCATGGTAAAACTGTTAATCGTTATCATCTTTCCAACAAAAAAAGAATCATAAAAATCGGTTCGCAAATACCGGAGTTATCGCGTAATATACATACAAAAAAAGACCTTACAGTCGAATTGAGAAGCTCCTCCTTTTTTTTTGAAGTCGGTTAAAAATGGAGTTTGAACTTAGTTTGGAAATTATGCTAAAAAACACAGACACGATTTAGAAACTAAAGTTTAGGGTCGTGATTTATCAATTTTGCGTTAAATTACAATTTGCAAAATGACACGGGGTCAAAAACTCGTAAAGTTCCATGAAAAGGACCAAACTTTATGCATTGTTTTTAAAAACAATACAACGTTTTCTATTCACTCTGAGGAACTCGACCGTAGGAAATATAATACATTTCTAATATTACAAAGTAATATTTATATGTCTGCCATCATTAAATTACGAAATACCTAACATGCCTCTTAATATCAAGTTATATATTCCAGACATTGTGTTTAATGACGTAGTAGTATATCTAACGTATATTCGTATAAGGAAATTGCTTCTAATCTCTCAATTTTACACAGAACAGTATAAGTAACACTACTGAGATTGTAACTGATACCGTGTACCGTATCAAGCCGTCTTTTTCCCGGGAAGGGCGCAATAAATAAAGCGAATGGCGATGGGCGAATGCTATCACATGCACCTGTCGCTATTTTAAGCTAGAGCCGCTCGTTAGCGTGGAGATAGCTTTTTTCCATTCCGTTTTCATTATTCCTCATTTCCGATGTTATGTTTACGTCCAATTAAAAATACTTGTTGCGTTTCTTCTTAGCTTGTAATTGTATGACACTTCTTTGTAAAGGTTTGTGTTATTGATTTGATTTTAAGTTTAGGAAGGGCGTTGACAAACTTGCTACGTTACGACTAAGCACTATAATGGTGTAAACTGTGTGCGGACGCAGACGAATCTTCTTATACATTATTTTTTTACATAGTTTGGAATTTCTTTTTGTATCAGTAGAGCTGCTTATGAAAGATTTAGCTGAGGAAAGTACTGCCACCATTTTGCCAACTTATGTCTCAGGGTAACGGGCACAGTAGCAGTGCGTCTCAGATCTTTGTGATTTAAAACTCTGAGCGCCACTGGAACTGTTATGGACAGGCGTGTCGCTTACCAACAGGTGCAGGACTTGTTCGTCCCGTCACTTGGTATCATTTAAAAAAATACAGGCACTTATTACTTTTCAACATATCCCTCAGGGTGACGGGCATAAAGGCAGTGCCTTTGATATCTTTGCGATTTAAAACTTTAAGCGGCACTGCAACACGCCTGCTCCTACGGGCGTGTCGCTTACCAACAGGCGCACGATTTATTCGTCTCAATACATGCTATAATAACGCATACAATCAACATAGCCCCGCACTAGGGAAACCCTGTGTCGCAGGTGCGACACACAGATAACACAAAGGTGGTCACACACATAGACAACCTCAAATTACACCCAAATTCGCGAGACAAATAAATTTAGGCCATACAAATATTTCTCCCGGTCCCGGAATCGAACTTGGGACCTCTGCGTGGAAGTCCGGCATGGCAACCGTTCGGATACGGAGGCAAATTTATAAATGACTTCTTAGATAGAATAATTTGGCAGAAAGAGAAAATTTGATTGAGCTAAACGGATTATACTGCCTTGGATTTTTGTCATTCAGGTACGCAGATGATGTAAGAGTCATTAAAATAAAGTTTTCTTTACATCAGCTTTTGAATATCAAAAGAAATATATAAAAAAGACGCCTGTCAAGAATAGCCAGTTTGGTTGTGCTTCTGGGACTTTTTTTTATGATACCTAGTGATGGGACGAACAAGTCATGCGCCTGAAGGTAAGCGACACGCCTGACCACGGCAGTTGCAGTGCGACTCAGAGCTTTAAATGGTAAACATCGAAGGGGCACTGTCAGTGCGCTCGTCACCCCTGATACTAGGAATTGGTTAGGTTAGGTTAGCCCCAGCCCCCGCGGCGGATCTGATGGCAGGCTCCGCCGCGGGGGCTGGGGGAGCAGCCATTGAACTTCACAGTTGAGTGGATGCTGTCCTGGCCCCCCATGGCCCCTGGGTAGCCGACTCGGGGGAGTTCGTTGCCCAGCATAAAGGGGCCCGGGATGGAAGGCTCGTCTGGTGTTCGGCGAGCCTCACATTCGGAGTCGGGGGACCGACGTGTCTCCCTTTTCGGGGAGGGGCTGCGCAGGGCGCGGCCAGCCGCTGATGGGGGTGCGGACGAGTGCCACAGCGTACCCGTACCCCCACCTACAGCGGAGAGGAGGAACACTCCGGGGGTTTAGTGCGGTCGGGCTGCTCTCCTTCAGGGTTCAGCCCAGTCCCACATAACCCCGGCTCTGTCCCCGCGGGGCCTGGGTGTCTGTAAGCAGATTCCCCCGGATTAACAAGAAAAAAAAAGTTAGGTTAAGTTAGGGGTATCTGTAAGCAGATTTAAGAGATTGCAACTGTGTCTACAAAGTTCGATTTTTCGTTTCTACTATTTATTTCTGACTGTCTGAATTTAAGTTACATAAATTTTACACGATTTGATTTATTCTTATTAAGAAGTAGGTTTATTAACTAAAAATGCATCTACTTTGAAATAGCATTATTCACTGCATTATAGTAATAATAATAATAATAATACCGCTCACAATCAACATATAGATAGGATAGGCACACTAGCGTCATTCAACTTTGAATAATAAGACTGTATCTTCAGCAAACAATACTATTTCAAGTTTTGCGCTTTCCACGAGGCGAAATACATATAAAATAAGAACAAAAATGGATTTATATTTGAACCTTGAGGGACGCTTATGCAAACTGCAAGCCCTAATGACATTGGAATACCGTTGACATTGATCTTTTGCACCCTATCATTAAAAATGATCCAAAAGAATCTTGGTAAGGTTTGATTATAGAATGAAGTTAGTTAATTCAGTTTAAGGCATCCGAAGTTTCACTGCCAGTTCGATTTGCACCAACATACTGTATTTAATTATACATGTTTATTCCAAAATGATAATAAAATGATTTTCACCTTTTACGTTTACTTAAATAATAAATTTATTATTAATAATAAACATAAATTACTATCTATCTATACTAACTGAATTAAATGAACACGAAAACTACATTATAAAGACTATAATATTAACGGTCTAATCTATATTTACTGCGTTTTATATTCCAGAATACGTTATTTATCCGCTCACGCGATGCGCTCCTCCAACCGCAAAATGGCGGCTATTTGGTTTCGCAAATTAGAAAAGCATTCAGTTTAAATACAAGTTTTTATAAATAAAAATTATTATTCTGCACTGTTAAATAAATACCCTCCGTACTATCAACAAAAACATCTCAAATAAAATGCAATAATACATCGCAAATCCTGCACTTAAAAAGCACTAATGAAATTTTTGGTGTACTTGGATAAATATGATAATATTCCGTTTGAGTGGTTCTAACGTTTACCATGAAATTACTCCTTAAAGTATAGTTTATAAACATTTATATTCAGGGTAAACTAAAAAACGCTACTTACAGTATATATTCAGTAAATAAACACCGAAATCACCAGCCCAAACAATAACACACACGATTGTCGTGACGTATTTTTGAAGTTGTTTATTTTTTGAAATGACAGACCCAGGCATTAAAAACTTTATGGTTTGCTAGAGTAGTTACCGAAATAGCAATTTTTATAAGTTCTTTTACTTGTTATAACTTCGATATCCGATAAATCGGTATAAAATCATCACCGGCACCTGTAGGTGTGGTATGCGTCCACGGCTGCATGTATCGCATGAGCGGATATGTAATTGTTTAACGAAATTTAAACATTACAACATAGACTTTACAATTTTCAATCACCATCATCATCAACTCATTTGTACGTCCGACTGCTGGGCACGAGTCTCCTCTCAGACAAGGGTTTAGGTGAAATTCATACATAATTTACTAATAATGTTCCTGGACATGTAGTGAAGCTCCTGGTGAATACCAGCTTCCTTAAAGATCCTCGTTCGGGGGCACGAAGGCACTCCCAGGGCGCGTAGTTTGTCTTGTCCTGCGTACGGAAGTTCTGCTGCGCCGACCTTCTCTTTTTCTAAAGAGCAGCGTATTTCTGTGAACTATTTCGTAAGGTTAGATGATGGGTTCACAGATCCTAAAGATGGAACGGCATAGCAGCAGATACGGACTAAATATTCTTTACAGTGTAAAAGTACCCCCTATCGGATTTTTTAAGTAATTTATGGATGTGGAGACAGTGGAGACAGTGTAGACTAGTTATTTCTGCCACCAAGTAGGAATGAGAGCATTATTACGTTCCGGTTTTAAAGGATCTTGTCAATATTTAGACTCAGAGTTACAGGTGCAGTGGTAGTATCTCTCATTTGCGATTAAAGCTCTTAATTATAAATTTAATGCGTTTTGTTTCCTGCTTAGCCTGCAACAAAAGTAGCCGATTTGCTTAGTATTTAATTTTTTAATAAGTAAAAAGTGAAAGTTTTGTAAAACGGCATACACTTAAAGTAAATTTTCCTAATTCGTCTGTTTTAGTGTTACAACTAGTCGTAAAGACATGATATAAAAAAAAAGTTGACATAAGAATCTTTAAACGTTCAGCTAACTTTAATGTCTTTTTATTTTTTATAGTACCAAGTGAAGGGACGAATAAGTCGTGCGCCTGGCGGTGGTAACGCGTATCTATAACCGTTGCAGTGCCACTCAGAGCTTTGAATTGCAAAGATCTTATGGGCATTGCTACTGCGCCCGTCACCCTGAGACATAAGTTGACAAGTCCCATGTGCCTCTAATTTCACCAGTAAACTACCATTCCAAACCAGAACGCAGTAATACTGGCATTACTGCGTGGCAGTAGAAATAGGTAAGGTGGCAGTAGTTCCCTGACGAACTCTTTCACATGGAGCTCTTTTGCTTGCTACTCTTGACTACGTCGACGATGAATTGATGTTGAGTGCTGGCCATTACATGCTGTGATGTTCCTTCAGTGAAGAGGCACTTAGTTTAGAAGCTTAAATATGCCATAATGTGTAGTGTCTTCTTGTGGAATATATTAAATTATTAAATAAAAAGGCTAAATTAGGCTAGTCTGGAAATCTTCGGGGGAGGCCTATGTTCAGCAGTGGACGTCTTCCGGCTGATATGATGATGTTGATCATGATTGCCCCCTGTATTAATTCGTGAAACTGTTTAATAAATTATGTGTCGAGCTTAAAGTTATAAACAGATATAATGAAAAAAAAAACTGCGAGATTTGTTATTGAAATAATCTCAGTACAGAGTACTAAAAAAATCGACCTTAAAATTACTTGGAATTACATATATTTGCCAAGTTTTATTATAATCCGAGCCTTGAATTGGAGAATATCAAAATCAACCATTAAAATAATTGCTCCTTATAATATAATTTAGGCGCTATTTATAAAAATGAATCTTCATGCGTGAACAGCCACCCTTAGAGGTGGATGATTTTCTTCAAAATTATATGGGACCACTATGGAGGTACCCTCTTTCCAACAAAAAAGAATCATACATCGAGTAACATACATACAAAAAAAATACAGTCAAATTGAGTATATCCTCCTTTTTTTGAAGTCTTTAAAAATGCTGTTACACCGAAATTTTTTTTAAATTTATTGAATATGTTATAAAATTTTACATTATTTAATGTTTTTTATTTCATTTATTGTCGTGGTAAAACTGTTAATCGTTATCACACTTTGTTATTCTAGAATTATAGTATTTTTGTCATTATATTTTATCATATTGACTATAATTAATTTTATTTTGTATGTATTTATCTTTTTACTTATGATTAATGACATTGAAATATATGTAATTACGTTAATTAATTAAATTTAACTAGCAGCTTCGATAAAAATGTCGCGATCCATCTGTCAAACGTGGCGGTTATGGGAAAATTTTTAGAGTATCCTAAGGGTATGTGCACACGGCGAATTTTTATTAATAGATAACTCGTTTATCGTGAATCACAGTACATTTCAAACAAGCTTATGACGTAAGTACAATGATATGATAAAGAAAAAGGCTAGTCTAGGTTTGCGGTACGGTCTGATATTGTGTAGGTCTACACCTACAGTTAATCAGAACCTCTACACTCTAACTCTACAGTTGAATGTACTGTGTCAGCAGTAAGGACCTGACTCAGCATCATACTGCAGTTCAGTTAAACTAAGACGCTGATTATTCTGCCAGCCCCAAAGGTAAGTCGGTAAAAAAATGTCTACACGCAAACAACCCGCAGTTTACGAACGCGCGTTTGCGGTACCACTGAATTTGTGAACGTGTGAACTGAATCTCCTTTGACGCACGTTAACACGCGTTATCTGCGCGTCATAGGCATGAAAAAAATACATCATGTGCACAGGCATAAATAAGCCTATACACACATAGAGACTATCTACTTTAGAGCATCAGATCATCGTCATCATCAGACTTGACAGAGATCAGCATGGCGTCCACATTAAACGTTCTGTTTTGTATGGGATCTATGATTGACGCATTCTAAGAGTACCTACTTTGCCACAAAGATCTCGCTAGCGACACCGTAAAATATTTGTACACAAAATGTTACTTCTTCTCGTAACCGTTAGGGTCGCTGTATATTTTGCCATAGATAATTTTGAAGTAATTTACGCGGTCGCTAGCAACAACTGTCACAGTAAACTCATGGTAGAGGCACTTATATAAAAAACTCGATGGCTATTTACATGGTGCTGATAAATGATAACAAGTTAGGTGTAACCTTTAAACTCTAACGTTTATGTGGTGAGGTCGTTAGTTTGTTGCCGGTACGAAGTAATGTAGGTTAATGTACGTTAGTCGCGCGGCCTTTAAGTCTTAATGTGTCCAGTCTAAATGTAGGGCCTTTATTCACCGCTTTTATTATAATTTAACTCCATTATCATTGAATACTGAATAAACTATACTGCACTATGTTTGTTTATTTGCACGTATTCTCGGTTTTATTAAAATATTAATGATTGTGGGACTGTGAATAATAATTTGAAAACTATTGGATGATTGTATGCGTTCGGCTATCACGTGTGGTTTATGTTTAGAGCAGGCTGCTCTAACTCTGTACGTCTTGGTACGTTTCTCTTTTGAAAGTGTCAATAGTTTTTGTGGTCCTTTTTCGTTGCACGGAATGTAGGAAAATGTTTCTTGATATTTAGTCATGGTATGTATTTTGTTAGTCACTGTTTCATCTTCACACTATATTTCAAAATAAAAAGCAATAAATAAACAGGTAAAAATCTGTTACATACTCCTGTGAACATGTCGAAATTTAAAGGGTTCCCAATTTTTATACGGAATTCTAATAATCAGCATACTGCTTGGGCTCAATTTGCAATACCACGGAACTGAACGAAATTGTAGATGGGATAATGAACTTTGTGTCAATTGTGTAATGTACAAACTAGATATGATGCGATAGCTGCGGGTATTCCCGAGACTGCTCGAGAAATCTCCGAAAGGCGCGATCTGTTTTTTGGCTCATATCTAGTTTGTACATTACACAATTGACATAATAGTACATTATGATACAAGTGTGCTAAGTTGGTCATTACACACGAGGCGTTATTACTCGCGCGAGCCGCAGGCGAGCGCGATAAGAAAGCCGAGAGTGTAATGATCAAAGCACACGTGTTTCATACGACGTTTTTCAACACATTTGCGAGGAAAATGAAACAAACTTGAGTAAAATGGAAATGAAAAATAGCTTTATTTGGCATTAATTATACAGATACACTGAATACTATGTTAAGCTCACGTTAATGTAAATAATATTATTCTATTCTATACTATATCTATCAATAGCAATTAATTAAGAGTCTCCAAAGCCTATCAAAGTCATTGTATCTTGATTTTATCAAAAATGTAGTTATTTAAATTTAATTATTAAAACAATTGTTAAATGTACAATTTTCAAAATGGTAACGTGCAGTTTTGTTAGGCATTTGAACCGTCTGTGTGATATTATTTGTTACTATTTCATTATTGTCTTCTTGCGTAAAAGTCGGTGATACGGGTTCATTGTGTACAAATATGGATGAAAGTGGTGGTGGTTCATTTAAAGACTCAGAAATAGACAACCTAGGTAACAAATAACTTGTATCACGGGAGGTGGATGGCTGCGGTTCAGGACACATCTTCTTAACCTGGGGCTCCAGATTTATAGCGTGGGTTATTTGAGTACATATGTTGGACTTATTTCGAACTGAATCTTCAACATAAGACTCAGCAACTGTGCTAGATCGCCAGCCACCATGACGCTTTAAAGTAAGCAAATCAGCTCCCGAGTCAGCTAGCAATGTAGCTGATGTTCTTCGGAAACTATGCCCAGTGTATAAATCCGGGTCGGGTAGATTTAAAAACTTGGCAATTTCTTTAGGCATTGCACCAAATTTATTAATGCCTATTGGCTGAGCCACGCATCTACCCTTCTGGTAGTTTTGAAAAAACCGATCGGATTTTGCCTTATCTGTCCTAAGCGCTTCGTACTTTTTTACTATGTCGTAAAATGGACCGTGAATGGCAAACAATCTCGGTACCTTATTTTTAGTGTTGTTAATTTTAATCAAAAGCATTTGGCCATGAGTTTCTACGTCTTTTGCCGTTACTTCGCTTAGTTCTTGGCGTCTACACGCGCCAGTGACACCAAATATCATTGCAACCTGTAAAGAAATTAAAAATATAGGTATTTTCGCAAATATAATACAAGAAAAATGAAAACATAAAAAAATTAAGGTTTAATACGATCAACTGACCTTTGTTGCTAAATACTGATAATCGGGGGCTTCTTTTAAAAACTTTTCGACGTCAGTTGGCGAAAGTACCTTCGATTTTCTTGCAACATACCCATCAGAGCGTCTCTTTAAAAATGCCGTCAGATTTGAATAGTTTTTTATGTCTATGTTATTCTTGTTCTTTACTGTGGTCTTTAACATAGAATAAATGCACCAGAGCGAGCTGGGCTTAAACCTATTCGCCAGTTCATTAAAATAGGCAAGAAAAACATTTTCTGAAAACGAAGACGCTTTTTTGTTGGTTTTCCATTGTATAAAAGTTTCATATGCAGCCATGTATTTTTCTCTGGATTTCGAAGGTAATAAACTGTCACTTGCGTTTTGTGCCTCTGTGAGGATTTCGGGCGGTGTTAAATCCATCAAAATGTTTTCTTCCGTGCTTGAGCAGGACATTTTAAACACCTAGGTAATTATCTAACACACAGCGTATATAAATGTTTCGAACGTATCAATGGAAATTGGCGCGCAGAGTTATTTTTTCTGCGCCTGGCGCCGCGGCGCGGATATGCGCGCGCAGGTGCTTCGGCAATAATGAGACTTAGGTGAAATTCCTAAACAGCCAATGCGAAATAATATAAATATGTCCTTATTTCACTCAAATTCGTGTAAAATATTATCCAAAATAAGTAATTTTATTCAATTAAAGTTTTATAGGTGTATATTGTGTATGTTTTTCTATATTTATCACATCAAATAAGAAATATAAATTTATTAATAAAAATATTATTTGTAAGGTAAGACTACACAACCGTATTAAACAGAAATAATAAAAAAAACTGTGACCCTGTTTGTTTGGGATTACTGTCATTGTAATTTGAATCTTATAATATGTAGGTTAGAGCTGTTTTTTTAATAGACCAAGTTAATTTCAAAGACATAACCCGGATAATTTAAGAATGCATAGTTTTAATACATAGGCCTTGTTGTGAGATACATCTTAATCCGGTTAAGCCTATACTTATTACACACACGTTTTGTAATATAATTACAAACGCGTGTTCAATAGCTAGGTTTATGAGCCTAAAAGCGATACAATAAGAAGCCCGTTACGAGCAAATGTGTTGAAAAGTACTTTATGCTATCTACAAAAAAAATATTGTTCTATTCCATTCCGCGACAATGTAAATTGAGCCTTCCATTGGTTAGGTTATTGTGTCCAATAACGCATGCATAACGGGCGGGAACTATATCTTGACAATTGTGTTTATTATAACACAAATCGATAGGTTTCAATTATAATTTATTATGAACATTTTTTCAATTTAGAAATATATAGTAGTTTATGATATTCATCTATATATGTATTAGTTTTATTATTTATTATATGTACGCATATGTATTTACTTAAATCTTTATACACTTTTTTTTTTGTCGCTGAGCTCAACCATGTTTTGGAACATATATCGTCGTGGGGCTCCCGAAACTTGGTTGAGTTCAACGCCAAGAAAACCCAGGTATGCGCGTTCAGTTCCAAAAAATCCCCATTCCTTCCACTTCCCCATCTTCAGGGTACAACGCTGACGCTGCAGGACAAGCTCAGCCTGCTGGGGATGAGCATCCGGAAGGACATGAGCAACAAAGACTATATAGAGAGCGTCATCTGTACCGCGTCGCGCAAGCTTGGCATCCTGAACAAGGTGCACCGATTTTTTACTCCAGAGCTGCGATACCTGTTGTATAAAGCTCAGGTCCGAAGCAGCATGGAGTACTGTTCGCACCTTTGGGACGGCTCTGCCAAGTACTTGCTCGATGCCCTAGATGGACTGCAGCGCTACGCCTTCCGTGTTGTCAACAATCCTCATGTAACTGAGCATGCGGAGTCGTTACAGCTTCGCAGAGATATAGCGTCTCTTAGCGTATTCTATCGCCTGTACCACGGTGAGTGCTCTGAAGAGTTATTCAACCTTATCCCTTCCTCTCCTTTCCATCAGCGGACCACCCGTGCCGGACTGCGTTGCCACAGTTGGACGGTCAGTTCAATACCGTCCCGCACTAAAAAGTTTGGCAATTCGTTCTTATGCCGAACCATCAAATTGTGGAACCAACTCCCGGCGCATGTATTCCCTCCCCTCTATAACATCGGGTCCTTCAAACGTAGTGTGAAGAAGCATTTGGCCAGACCGGCAAAATGATAGTGACGGAGTGAAGATATTTGTGTTTTCCATCCGTTACTCTCATCTCTGGACTGTATTCGCACTTTCCATCAGGCGCGGTGCAGTCATTTTGCCGAGTCACGATAAAAAAAAAAAAAAACCGCCGTCTTTTTCCTGTGAGTTATAATTACTACCATCCAAAGGTTGTCTGGCAGAAATCGCTTAAAGCGATAAGACCGCCCATTGTAGCATCGCTTATGCCTTTTTATTTTAATTGTATTGTAGTTGTGTCCATTTTGGTGTAAAATAAAGAATTTTTGTGCTGTACACACGGTGCGGCCACGCCTTGCAAAGTGCGTTCAGAGTATAATACGTAGTGGTTTGTGGTTATAAAAGAAGTAGCCAAAAGATAATCTGTCAAGCGGAATTTTCTGATAAAATGGGATGGATGTTTTTGTTATGATCCATTACCTGAATATTTATTTCCTCGTTTATGTATTCTTTTATTTTCTTTAAATATGTCTTTTTTGTATGGATGATATATTAGAGTGCGATGTCCATTCAGTGTTCCATTTTGTTTACAAATAAATTTGGATTAAAATATTTCGAATTTATTAACAAATAGCTGCATTTATATCTGCGATAAATTAATGTATCGTATCGTAATGTAATGTAGTAAAGTATATTGGATTTTTTATATTGGATATTAAACTATGTTTTTCGCATCTATATCACGTATGAAGAAAAAAACAATGGAAGTGCCTTACTAGCAGAAACACTGTCGAATAATTCATACAATATGACATCTTGATAATGCTTGGTCGTAGTTTCCAATTTAAAAAGAAGTAACATATTCTGGACTGTTAATACAATTTTAACTTTACCCTGTTGGCATATCGTTGACAGTTCAATACCTATGCAAGTTACGAGGTTTTGATTTTATATTGAAATTTCAACCAATGTGCTGAAATCTAGCGGTTAATAGCTAAACGACGACAAACGACTATTGACTACTCCAAAAAAGAAGTCACTAATCGTTGCGGAATAAGGTTTACTTTCATTTCTAGTAACATAAAGAAAATAATTACGATAAACAGAAAATTGAAAATTTATTAAAATTATATAAAATAAATAAATAAAATATCATCTTTAATATGAAATACCAGTAAATAGATAACATTGCAGTTTTTACACTACAATGACGCAAAATAAGGCATTTTTCTACATTTTTTTAAACTGGGGAAGCCCTGTGTCGTTGGTGCCATGGACACACACACAAACAACCACAAATTACACCCAAACTCACAATAGAAATAAATGTAGTAATGCCATTCAAATATTTCTCCCAGCCCGAGAACCGAACCCGGAAGCTCGGCGTGGCACCGTTCGGCGACCGAAGCAGTTATTGGCACGACCATAACGTACAAACCGAAAATAGCGGAGTAAGTATGTGGAACTTCGCGTACTGATGGCACACGTGTCACATCCAGCACTTCTTCTGTATTTATTGTCCTGTGGTATTCCTTTTTTTCAAACAAACCTTTTTCTATAATATATACTCAATTCAGATGCGACCTAAAATATTTTGAAAAGTATAATGTTGTTTTTCTTGATATTATAGAATTAAGAAAAAAATATGAAAATACACAAGACACCAAATACACACACAGATATCGGCCGAGAATTTCACTAAGAGCAGCGATACAAACGCGCGTTCGATATGAACACAGACCACATAAATTGGATTTGAAGCACACCAACTTGGCTGAAACGGTATGGTTATGGCATAATAGTCTTTAGCGGGTTCTTGTGGCGCATGAGTAACTTCGGCCAGCGGAGTGCGGACGCCTCGGGGTTCAACTTTTGGCTGAAGTGTTCGCGGTGAGGGAGCGCCCAAGTTTCAAAGAACCACACTTGTTTTGGCGGCCATGTTGAAATTTGTAGATTTTCTACCTCTAATTAATTTTCAGCGATATCGCAGCAAGACTTTTCAATCGCTTCGCTGTATCCACTTTTCTGTTTTTTCTAACACGGATAGCTGAACCGCATCGCCGTAATGATATTTCCGCATCGCCGTCATTTGATCAACCTACCACCTATTTCTAATAGTGTCCTAGAGAGACAATAGCATTTTGTATGACGGCCATTTTCATATAGGTACTCGAAGTTAATTTTTTACTTAGGATGGTATTCTTGAAGACTATAATTTCATTTTTCGTCGAAAGACAACGATTAAAAATGAAGATATATAGCGGAATGTAGGCGAAGCACCGATAGAAGTCAAACGCTGTAAAATTATGTGCTCTTTGACTGCGAGCTAATTACGTTGTCATATCGACTATTTTTTAGAAAAAACTAAACTCCAATTGCATTTGGTTTTTTGGAAAAGATTTACGTAAAACATTATACTACCGAATTTTAGACTGAAACCGTCTTCTTATATAAAACCCAAAGGAAAATTTAAAAAAGGTTTCAGGAGAAGTGAAACACAAAGACTGTTTTTAATATTTATTTTAAAATTAACAAAGAAGAGAAGTTGATGTCATACTATACAACTTTAAAAGAGGGTAAAGTGACGATATCGGGTGAGTGTCAAATCTCGTTCCGAACATTTTCCTACCCAATCTACTGCCCGGTGAGAAAGAAATCTGCCAAGCAATGGCAAAATTTTCAAGACCCTCCTATTCTACGTCTCGTCTTAACAAACACATCAACTACACAGCTCAAACAAAAATAGTTTTAGAACTTGAGTCGACCGGTGTACAGTGAACCCTGATTGTCGAATTATTTCCAAATACGTCATTGTGTGTAGAGAGGTATAGTTACACTGGAAAGGCTGTAATAGTTATCGATCGAAGTTTGATGTGGTATTGAACATGATACTCGTAGTTTTTCATGGGGAAAAGATGCTAAGATTAAATTTCTCATTTTCTTTCAGGGTAGGGTTGTAATTTTTTTTATTATAAACAGGTTATGAATAATATAGACTGGGTGGAAATGGGATATAACTTTGCTTGCCCTGAAAACCTATTTATGATATTGTGTTTATTTAAAAAGTCACAGATTATGCAAAAAATGCGTA